AGGGAGGAAGCTGTCTGTATGGGCTCTGTCTGTCATTTTATACCTCTTAAAATAAAGATCAAAGGCAGGTATCCTTCTACCGCAGTGGCAAGCAGCAAATGTTCAGGATATCCTAATAACACCTTCAGATAAAACCATGCCCAGGGCTCCTGAGAAAGAGGAACACCCAAATCTGTCCCTCTTTCATTTGAGGAGGTACCCCTGAAATGGAAACCTCCCCTCACCTCTCCCCGTATTCACCCAAACCACCCCACTGGAGGACATGGCCTTTCTGGCCTCCGCAGGCACCAGCAATGGCCTCAAGTAATGTTCAGAAACGAGCACCCATCACTCCTAAGGCCTTTGGTAAATGCTGGAGAAAAGGTCAACTTGACTGTGGGAGAGCTCCAACACACACCCCACCACCACCACCACCACCACCAGGAGGCGTAAGGCCACTCAAAAATTCTACGTATCTGAAACATCACATGTGACAGAATCACAGAATGGTAGGGGTTAGAAGGAACCTCTGGAGATCATCCAGTCCAACCCCCCTGCTAAAGCAGGATCACCTAAAGCAGGTTGCATGATTGTGTCCAGGCAGGTTTTTAATATCTCCAGAGAAGGAGACTCCACAACTCTGGGCAGCTCTGTCACCCTCAGAGTAAAGAAGTTTTTCCTCATACTGAGATAGAACTTCCTGTGTTCCAGTTTGTGTCCGTTGCTCCTTGTCCTGTCACTGGGCACCACTGAAAAGAGTCTGACCCCTTCCTCTCGACATCCACCCTTTAGATATTTATAAGTATTGATGAAATCCCCTCTCAGTCTTCTCTTCTCCAGGCTAAAGAGACCCAGCTCTCAGCCTTTCCTCATACGAGAGATGCTCCAGTCCCCTCATCACCTTTGCAGCCCTCCGCTGGACCCTCTCCAGTAGTTCCCTGTCTTTCTTGAACTGGGGAGCCCAGAACTGGACACAATATTCCAGATGTGGCCTCATGAGGGCAGAGTAGAGGGGGAGGAGAACCTCCCTTGACCCGCTGGCCACACTCCTCTTGATGCACCTTGTCTAAAAAGGTGCTGTGCGCTGATGGGGTATTGCTCTGTTAGAGCATCTTTGAGAGGATGCATCATGGCACTCTTTCTACAGCTATGAGTGACTACAGCGGTACCAGGATAAAGACGCACATCTACCTATAAAATACACACACGCACAAATGAAGCAAGAGACAAAGCAGTTCCTTCAGTTTTCGAAGATTCATCTTGCCTAGAAGCGTAGTGCCTGACTTGTTTGCAGCAGTGTAGCAATTCTTTAATACAAGAGATGGATGCAGCCCAAACCACAAAAAAAATCCTTTTATATGTTAGGAGTGTTGCTAATTGTTTCAATTTGCCATGCTTCATTTATCTTGCTGAAACAACATGCCAGAAATTTCTAAGTCCCTGTAGAAGGACTGTCCCTTTCTCCAGGCTGGATTGGTTTTCCACACCAGAATTCCTCAGTTTCAAAGGAAATTAGGTAACCCACACTTAATTGCTGGGAAGCTTTTAGCTTTTGCTATACTTTATCAAAAATAACCCAAACACTCAGTCGGATGTAGAAAGCCATTTATACTAAAGGAATGAATCTTAATTTTTTATTTTTTTTTTAATAGTCTCTAGCTTCAGAGTTCTTGGGGAGACAGATTTGTTCCCATCTTTGTGTACACTGCAGCCCACAATTAGACACTGGCTGGTGAAGACCCAAAAAAGTACTTTCATTTACATTCATAGTAAGTGGCAATTTTGGAGAAGGCCTAGGGACCGGCCAATCCTTGCTGAGTTTCCTATGCCTTCCAAGAGTAGATCTGACTAATTCAACCTAGGATCCATTCCCAGCAATTACTGGGATCCTGAGTAGTGAGGATTTCAAACCCCATTTTCTGTGTGCTTTAAACTTGCCTCAAAATAAATAACAAACCGAGAAAGCAGTCAGTACATACTGATTCCATGCACTTTAATTTGGAACAAAAAAGGGCTTCACACATTTTCATAAAGGTCTCTTCTGGGCTGAATCACTAGTCATAAAATGTACTTTTATGCTATTATCCCTGAAAAGAAATTAATTTGGAATTCAATTGTATGTGTCAATCGGCTGTGAATAAATTACGAACATCATGACCCTACCGAGAAGGCACTGAACCATTTATTTTTATATGGAGAGCTTTAAATATTTTACAACCCTTCTCCCCAACAATCTAAACACATGCCTTTAAAACCAGCAATTAATAGTGTATCACTGGCTATGACAGAAGAACAACACACAGAGTAAGCAGTATATTATCCCAGCAAACTAGGTTCTCTAGAAACCCATGTCTATCATCTAGGGTGATGGCATAGCTATCAACAGACAGCAAAATACTCGAGGCTGAGTTTACACACACACACAAAAGACAGACTAGTTACTCCAGCTGGTACTATAATTATATTTTATTTATTTTTTTTAAAAAAATGAAGTCACAACTTTCTGTTAATGAAAAGTGAACTGGAATTTTTGCCTGAACTCTTAACTCTAAACATACCAAAGTAAGCATAGTAAAAGTCAACCTTAGACTGGAAACAACTGTAAACTAAGGTTTATATTGCCATATCAAAAGCTGAGTTAAAATAGAACAAATAAAAAAACGCAGTCAACAAGCATCATATTCTTCTTCAAAGATCAAGAGGTTGTGAACAAAAGCCCAACCTCCATTACATTTTCTTCAGTTGGTTAGAAAGACCATGAAGTAAAAAAAAATCATCTAAGCAACTGCAGAAACTGAGCTAGAGGGATGAGACAGCCTTGAATTTCTCTTACAGACTTCTTTTTTACTAAAAAGGAATGAGACGTGAGAAACATTGACCAGATGAATGCATGACTGGACTACTATGACAAAAATGTATTGTGGCAATTCAGTTACCTGAGAAAAATAGTTATCAGTATTGCAGAAATCTTTTTAAGTTCTCAAATGACATTAAAATGACCCAGTACACTTTGAAATATGTGATCCCAGTGACTAGCCAGAGATCTAGGAATACATATTTCTATATTAAAAGTGATAAACATAAGCAGAAAAATACCTGAAACAATTAAAAGGCACTTTTAGCTGGCACGTGTTTTGCTATATGCTACAGAAAACCGAGTCAGATACAACATTATATTGAATCTTGTAGTGGTCCAAGCAGCATAATGGTATACACTGTTAAATACACACACTTGACATAGTCAGTTTGCAACGTCAGCATAGTTAACACAGGAAGAAATCCACATTCTTTTTTGATGTAAACAGTAAGGTTTCTAATAAAGACATTTTCATTTTAGACATTATTATTATATGTTTAACATTATTGCCGTGCAACATGTTCTAAAAGTTTTATGACACTTCGGTGTATCCTTAGGCAAGAAACAGTCACGATAAGCCATTTGGAGAGAAATTCTCAAGTCATTGGGTCTAGTGCTGCACACACTGCACACGCCAGATGTTTGTATATAAAAAGTAACTTTATTCAAATACCCGTAGTCCTCTGCATGAAGATCTGACCCTCAAGTTTTAAGAGGCACAGAAACTGAGGTGCATGCTAACTACAGCATTTAAAAGTGAGACCTATTATTTTACCTCATTTCAAGAGGTGGCTTTCAAAGGCAGCTAGATGACTGAAGTGTAAGTCCCGCTAGAAATCAAGAGCTGTCCCCACCATCATTTCAACATGGTTGTTAAATTCAGACTGATTAAAAAAAAAGTAAATCTAGGCTTTCCTTATGGATTGACTCTCATTCTTTGCATTTCAGAGAAACCACCTGCTGGAAACAATCTGTTTTCTTTCCCTCTTTTTTTATCTGTATTAACCGAGCATCTCTAACAGGTGAAGTGAAAAGCATTAGTAAACAGCTGGATGACCACACCATTATTTCTTCATTGAATCCTTACTCTTACTTGAGTCAAAAGCACAAGATATTAATAAAATGTGAATGCTACAGGCATCTGAACAGAAGCACAAACTGGTTTAGACTTCTGAAATGTTTTTTGTAAAAAAAGCAAAGAAAATACAGTTATGGTGTAGGTTCACACAGTGCTATCCGAGTATAACAACATCAGATGGAAATTAGAGAAAGCCCGTAACTTCTGAACTAGAAGAGCCCAAGCTCAAGCCTTCACACTGATTTACATACACAGCGCTCTTCCAGGAGGCTTACGTGGTCTTTCACTACACTTGCACAGCCACCAGCATGCTAAATACAATGAATTTTCAAGCAGCAAGTGGTGGAAATGACAGCGTCCCCTCCTCTGCTCAGACATTAGCAGATTGCTTAGACAACTGTGCAACCTGGAGCTGCCTTGAGATGGTGGTGTAGGCTACACCTTCCAGGAATCACCAACCAACACTCAGGAAAAAAATGACTTGAGAGAGGAGGAGATACTGGACAAAACAGTCTATTTCCCCAGTCTATTTAAGCTGGCAGTTAGGAATTAATTTTCCTGATGGCTTTATAATAAAAAGCAGGAGTGTACCTTTGCCACCTGTTTCACAACCGGAAGTGCGTGCAGTCCTGGAGTGTCTCAACAGTTTTTGAGTTTGCTAGATATTCACTCAAACTGAAAGCTATCAACAGTTGAAGTTTAAAAAAAACCAAACAACCAAACACATACACAAAATAAAACAACATCAAAACACATTTGATAACAACACTCATCTTCATCTTTTTCTTCCCTAGACTCCTGTCCTTATGGTCACCTGTATTCCACAGGAAACTGCTATACCTGGCATAAAATTACTCCACTAAACCGTCCTGTTCCTTATTTTCCAGCAAGGACATGCTTGTATCTCCATTATTCTTTTCCGTTGTATCTCCATTGTCCTCTGGTTGCCCTGATTTCTGATGAGCAAATGTGTAAGCGTCATGGTCTGTGTCCATCAGAGGTGGAGGTTCCTCAGTGTTAGAAGAGCGTTTAATGTCTTTTCTAAAGGAGAATGGAGGTGGAGAAGGTGGCAAGCTACCAACAGGTCCATCAAAAGGCCGGTACACATCAACTTCTGGAGTGACTGAGCCATTGGATTCCTTCAGCAAGTGCCCGTAGACCACAGCATCATCAATAACTGCATAGACATGAGACTCGTTGTTTTTCCTCTCTTTTGGGAATAAGCCTCGTTTTCCAGGCATCTGGGTATTCACGTTAGAATTGTACACTCCCACCATGGGATTCTGGCTTTTCTTCTTCCTGTTGCAGAGTTGAAATTGTTAACAGTTCAGAACAACGCATGGCTGGGGTGTTTGAACTCAATAACAGCAGCTTCCATTTACCCATCCCAACCACCCAGGCTCAGGCAGCCTACATTGAAGGCTTTACTTGCAGTCTTAGGAAAAACTACTCTTCAGTCTAGACATGTTTGGGTTTGGGGTTTTTTTTGCAAAACAGAAAATAAGTTCACAGTATTTAGTTACCTACTGCTGTTCTGCTGACCCCGAAGTTTGCAAGATTAACTCCAACGGCCTCCCAAGTACAGGGTTGCCAGCTGTGCAGCGTACAGAGTCTCCCAACATCCACAAACACTAATAGGATCAGAGGCCATCAGATCCTCACAAAACAAGGCTGAGAGTTGCTGAAGACCAGTAAGATACTGGGTTCTCTATAAGTGTCGAATGAATTTTTCTAGATTGCACTTTCTGGAGTGACTGTCCCTAAGGTAGGAAGGCCAAACAAAGGCTGAACTGAAGATTTTTAAGCCTGTATTTGTAAAGTCTTTCCCGTGCTCATAACTGCTCTAGTCATCATATTGCACAAATTAATTCCAGCTCTACAGCTTCAGGAGGCAATCACCCTGCCAGCACTGAGCGTACATGTATCAGAAACCCCAAGCTACCGATAGCTTCAGACTCTGCTTGCATGAACAATGCTATATACATTTGCTTTGCACAACCTACTTCTCTCTCCATGGGCTCATTTCATAGAAAAATGCTCCCACTTGATGTGCAAAGTCCAGAAGAAGTTGCTGGAGGTCATGTAGATGAAAGATAGCTCTTAGTATATCTGAGTGAGTTTACAGCTTGTCTGAACAAAGCCTTGTCTAGAGCCACAGGCACAGCAACCACATTCATTGCGATTTCATTTCACAGGAATTGCTGATGAAATCCAACCAATACCTTACTTCCAGGACAGCCAGAAGCCTGTCCTAAGTAAAGCCAATAGGCAATACGCTGGGGTGGAAGTAATGCAACTCAAGGAATGGTGCTCTACTCTTAAAGTCAATCAATTTAGAGTAAAGCAGCATTTTTGGAGGTGCACTACTTCAACCACCAGCACGTTGTCCACCTCATACTTCAGACCCTTAATCAAGGGATTTATATCAACACGTGAAACGGGAGGCCCCAGCAGCTCTCCTGAAACGCCTTCTTGAACTGCTGAATTACACATGCCAAGTTACGAACTTACTTCTTCTTAACGCAGCACACAGTGAGTCCAATAGCCATGAGAACTCCAGCCCCAGCCACCACAGCAAGTATCACTCCTAGGTCTGCAAACAGACAAGGTACAAGGACACTGAGCGAGAGAGAACAAACATTCAGCTTTGTCCTAAAAGCCAGCTGGGTTTGAACCTCCTCAAGACTTTCTAAGCATACTAGCTGCTGGCAGAGCAGGAGTTTCCAAGCTGTGCTCACCACAGGGTAACACAAGCCATTTCCAAGAGGTTGGAAGCTAAGCAATGACAAACTCCTGCTGCTAGCAGTGGAGCACACCCAAAAAATCCAACCAAAAAACCCACCACCCACCTCCAAGAATTCAACACAGTTCACTGGCTGCGAAACTTACCTGCAACATCTCATGTGCCTCTGGCTGAATAGGTGGGGAAGAAAAAAAAAGTGCAGAGACAGACAGAGAGGGACTCAACAAAGGAAACAGTGACATTTCACCAACTTCCTTTCAATACAATCCTTTCCTCTGAAACACACAAATTGTGTGGGTTTTGACCTGGAGCATGCTTGTTGACCTGGAGTTTTAAGTGTCATAAAATTGATCAGGAAAGTCCACATGTGAGCAAAGAAAAATGCTGCATGTTAGAAGAACTATACATTACAAAAAAAGAAAAAGAGGGGAAAAAAAAAGAAATTAATTTGATACTGTTTCAGTTCTAGCCTGTGTAAATACTTCTACAGACAGCAGTCTCCCACAGATGAAGAGGAAGTGCAAATGTGAAGCAAATTTACATGAGCAAAGCCTACCTGAAAAATGCCTTTTTTTTTAATTATTTATGTTTCAGGGAGATGAAAGACACCAAGAATCCAGATTTTGCTGTTAGTAGTCAGTGCACTCTCCGCTAAATTGTCAGAACTGCCCCAGGGATGATTTCTTGCTCATGTGAACACTGAGACTAATTGAACTGCTAACACAAAGTAAAAACTACTTGGATGAATACATTTGCATAATCAAATCCCAAGTTGTTCACCGGGTCTGTGACCCTGGGAGGGGAAAAAACATCACTTGATCTTCTTATACTTTCTGGCTGTGATCTCCAATTTAAAAAGCTAAATTAAATAAAGAAAATAAAATCCAGTCTTACTCCCTCCGAGCCCTGCAATCCCATCTCGAAAAAAACACCCCAACCACATTAAAAGCTCTCGTTCCTCCCCAGCCTGTAGAAGTACCCAGCCGTAACTCTCAGAAGTTTGAGGGACAGGTATTTCTAAAGGCAAGGATCTCATAAAACCCAGCCCCAAGGTGGGCCAGCATCCATTACTGTTCCCACAAGGGAAAGCAAGGAAATGAGCGGAAAGCAAACCACCACAACCTTACAGGACTCACCTATCTGCTTGTCAGCAAAAGTCACCCAGAACTGCAAGGTCAGCTGTGTCTTATCCACAGGTTTACAGTTGGAGACATTTACCCAGAAGTTGTGATACATATTTCGGGGCTTGGGCAGAAGCTCATCCTCACGGCGCACGGTTTCCTCTGCCCCCGATGTCTCTTCCTTTATGTTGACATAGGCACGGCCTGTCTCACAAGCAATGCCCATGCGGTCCTTGGAGAACCCTAGGTGGGCAACTTGTTTACTGGGCACGATGACGTGCCAGGATATGGAGACATAAGGAGGTAGACCGTATGGCCAGTTGGGAGTCTGCAAGTAAACTTTAGCTTTTGGATCTGGACTCACAGTGAAAATGCACTCATCTGTAATAAAGGAAAGGAATAAAGGACTGAAAACTTAGTTTTGATATTTACTTTTTTTTAAACAACAAAAAAAAGCTTTCTCTTTCAGCACGTAAAATTATCTGGTCTTTCTTCTCCACAATAAAAATACCAGCGACTAGCAAATTCATAGAGTCAACTGCATCTCAATATCAGCAATACAACTCACCTATCACCCCTTTCACATCAGTAATTATCCCAATTAGCACAGATATATCTGCAGAATTTCCCACAAACAACTATCTGCCATATGGAGCACAAAGGTCCTTCCTTCTTCCAGGAATAAGCCACCTCATTGATTCACATAAAGACTGATCTTAGCAATGGCTCCAGGACTAGACTCTAAAGAACTGAACTCTTATCTTTCTTTGTTGATATGTGCTCTAACAAGCATATTGACAGATCCAACACTGTACAACAAAATAGTACAAACCACTGCCTTACCTTTAATATGTGGCACAAAAGACATTTTCAGATCCTGATGGTTAGACTCATTGAGGAATCCTTTACCAAACGTTTTTAAGGATATGGTGACATTATTCCTCATCTGAATCTTTTCTATGGATCCACCAGGACAGAATATACCAACATTCAACTCCGTCTCTGAGGTGGCACTAACAATGCTGTAACTGTAGCTTGTGTTGCACCTCTGCTCTGGGACGTGCTGCTGAAGTTTCAAGGACGGAGATGTAATTTCTATGTTGATCAGATCAGGAGCCAAGAGCCTCCAAATAAACTTATGCAGTCGAATCGGCAGTTGGGTAATAGCCTTGGGCACCGAAAGGGAATAGATCTTCTTCTGACACCACTGAAGATCAACACAGCCTGCGATCACAAAAACAAGTCCCAAGGGTTGTAATTTTTCTTGCAGAGGAAATACTTAGGAAAAGCAAGTTTTCCTGCGTACCAGAGTACTGTCAGTTTTGTGATACAGACACAGATAAGTGTTTACCCTCTCTTAGTAACCTTTACTCAAACATCTATCATTTGTAGTTAAAGATCTTTCCTTAAAAGGGTGCAGGATGCCAAAGAAACCAACAGACACAAACATACTCAATTTCTCACTCAAGATATTACTTTTGCTGTATCATTGGCTGACTGGGCCACAATTGCAAACTAGCCAAAGTCCAGATATATGCTTTAAAACTCTTTCTCTACTGGTAGTTGAAAGCATTTGGGAAAACTCTACACCAAGTGGACATGAGAGCAGCACAAAATGCATTCCTGGTGGCCACCCTGGTCCTGCATTTTCATGGGCAGATTTACGGCTCTCCTGTTCAGTTTCCCTATTTTACAGTTTTCAGCAAGAAGATTCTTAGGTGCCTTCTGTCTTTTCCCTTCTAGGAATAGCTACACAGTTTCTATTTTTAAAGGTAGAATGACGTGGCAAACAACAAGGTCATCTCCAGATTCACTGTACCCGTTCCCCAGCTGGCTGACACCTCGTTTCCAACCTCACTATTTAAAGCCCAAATAAAAGAAAAGGTTTGGCTGACCGCTGGGGAAAAGCATGCAAAAAACATTCCCTAGGAAACAACATTAAGCCACTTTTGTCATACCTATGCCTTTTTCAGCTGTGATCCTCAGACGGGACAAGTCCTTGCACAGAAAGGAGATCTTGTAGACGGTGCCAGACACTAAAGTCATGACGCGGTCGCAGGTGCGAGGATCCTTACAGATCAGGCATATCGGTTCAGACATGAGCGGGATGTGGCTGGGCCACCCTTCGAAGTGTATTGTTACAGTCATATTCCATTCCTTGCTCAGGTCAACCAAATGGGTGACATCTGCAATGAAAAACACTCCAGAGTAATTACTGGCAAGAAGTGTGGTGTGAAGCAGAACTTCCTCCATCTCTTCTCACTCCGTTAGAGGAGCAGCTGTTATAACTATTTCTATATTAGCTAAGAAAACACTATTTACTTCTTTCCATCAGTGTAATACAAACTTGGACAGTATTGTATCACTACTCTCATTTAGAAGTTTGAGCCTTTCCACACACAAAACCCATTTCCCCACCACTTTCCAGCTACAACAGGGTAAGACGTATGCTAGCCTCTTTTGCACAGGTCAGGCTATAATGTAAGGAGCTCAACCAACTATGTTAGATTTGTTTTCCCTAACAGTTTTCTTGTATTTCTTTTAAAGTCAGCTCTACCGATCACACAACAGTCGATCAGAAAAAAGGTTCTCCTTTCTCAAATTTTGTATTTATTGCAAGATTGCCATCTCAGCTAACTTTTTGTTAGTTTAGGTTTTTCAGAGCCAAGCTGAAGAAAATTGTCCAAAGTCAGTAATTAAGCACATCTGGTTGTCTGGAGTCAGTAAAGATTAAGCTAATTTAAATGCAATACCAATATGGTTCAAAAGGGAAAAAAACTGCCAAGTACTGTAGTTCAGCAGAAGTGCTGGCAGTCACCATGAAGGTCACTGGAGCCTCCAAAGACACTTCCTAAAAGTCTCTTCTGTTTGGCAGTTAAAAGCATACAGAAATGCCACAAATTATCAAAATCTGTCACCATGCCGGTGGGAAGGCTGAGGACCAAGCCTTGCTAGACTGCTTGGTTTCCTTCAACGGCATGACTGAACTACCACACTGCCCTTCTATTTAATTGCTCAAAATCATTCTTCCAGAAACATTTTCTGACTAGCTGTAAAAAGCAAACCTGAGGGCTGGCAGAGATAACACTGAAAAGTAAAGAGCACCTTCCCCTTCCTCAACACTGGCCTCCACGTCTCTTGCAGTCCACCTGTTTCCCCATACCCCACCACACACCAGCTATAACGCCCTCTGACCTCGCTGGTCCTGAGGTGCCCGGGTGCATACAGCAACCATTGTCCCTGGCACCCTCTCTCTAACGTTGAGATTCAACTCAAAGATCTGCTTAAGGAGGCATGTACCGAGGCCAAAACTGCTCAATATTTTCACTAGCGGGACAGATGATGGGATGGAGTGCACCCTCAGCAAGTTTGCAAGAGTGGGGCTGGAAAGCAGGTTTGCAGAAAGACCTGGGGGTCCTGGTTGACACCAAGTGGAATATGAGCCAGCAACACGTCGCTGCAGCAAAGGTGGCCAACAGCTACCTAGGCTATGCTTGAAAGCATCAACAGTAGGTTGAGCAAGGTGACTCTCCCACTCTGCTAAAGCACTGGTGAGACATCTGCAAGTGCTGGGTCACGTTCTGGGCTCCCCAGTACAAGAGAGACATGGATGTACTGGAATAAGGCCAAAGACGCTTAAGGGATTGGAGCACCTGTCATACAAGAGGAGACCAAGAGAGCTGGGACTGTTTAGCTGAAGAAGGTGGCTCAGGGGGATGTGTGTGCACGTGTGTGTAAACAATATGGTGCCAGACTCTTCTCAGTGGTGCCCAGTGACAGGGCAAGAAGCACAAACCGAAATACAGGAAATTCTGCTTAAGCATAAAAAAAAAAAAATATCCAAAAATAATGCAAGTGTGGTCAAACACTGGAACAGGTTCCCCAGAGAAATTGTGAAGTCTTTGGAGATACTCAAAGCCCAGGTGGACACAGTCCTAGGCAACCTATTCTATCTGTCCCTGTGTGAGCAGGAGGATGGACTAGATGATCTCCAGAAGTCTCTGTCAACCTCAGCCATTCTGCAAGTCTGTGATATCCTAGATGACTTGCTACAGCAAGTCAGAACAACAGGGGTAAGCAGGGATGACAAACACCTTCTCCCACCTAAGCTAATGACAGCTGCAAATACTTGCAACATCTGGAAGGGGGAGAGGAAAGGAAAGAGGGGAAAAAATTCCAAGACCATGGCCATAGCCTAGTTCACAAAGATTAACTATATCTGATTGACACAGCATCCTTATGCTGTTAACAAGGCATGTGTGTCTGATGTCAAAGAGAGGACAGATTAAACAAAATATATATATATATACTTCTTACTCTTAATTTTATATTTTCATCTATGGATCTCAAAAGCATAAATAGCAGGTGAATAAAATAGCTTTCTTCTGTATGAGAAATCAGGCACACAAAAAGACAAGAGGTGAGGTGGAAAATCTCCAAGCCATTGCCACAACCAGGCACAGAACCTAGGATTACTACCATAGGGTTATTCATTCTTCAGAGTTTTTTATTTTTTTGCAGCAGCAGCTAAACACAGAGATGGTTAGATCAAGAAATTATTTTGATTTGAAAGAGCTATACTTTCCTTTTATTTAATGATAAGCATTGCAGACAGCTGTTGAATACCCAAATGTTCGGGAAGCTTTGAGAATATGCAGATAGCAATGCATTTTTAATAAGTCATGTTTAACTTGCACATTGTAGACAGGATTTTTTGTTTTTCTTTTTTTTAAATAAAAGTTTCAATATTATCCTGAGGGCTGAATTTGAATCTTTCATGGAGCTTATATAACTAGGAAATCACTCCTGAAATCCTATAAAATCCCTAGAGAAACCACTGTTGTCTCTCAAATCCAAGTGGTTTATTACTTGCATTTCATTCCATAAATGACAACCTGTTTTTTATTTTTTTAGGTGATTATCGTCCTATCTACTGGTCATGAATATATTAAAATTCCTCTTTGCTTTCCAAAGTAGAAGGGAGATAAAGCTGATTAAGTGAATGTAATGTTTTCACTCTGTTTGGCTTCTAAGGTGCAACACAAAATAAGTGTAAGCAAACATGATTTGGTTAACAACAATTTCAGGAGGATTTGCAGTTCATGAACGGAGCCAGACTAGACAAAGAACTGAGGATTACAGTGGTGAGATGCTACAGACCCTTTCTGGATACGTGACTTCAAGGTACAGGCTATTCAAACTCCATTCCCTCTAAAATGACTTGAAGCTGCTAAGTAGCTCCTGCTGCAGTGGTAGTCCAGAACGTGGACTTCCCTCCACCTGCTCCTCTCAAGGGCACCTTGACTATTAACCTCCACCATGAACTGAGGTCAGAGCTAAGAACCTAGAGGATAAATTACTTATTTCACAGCTCATTACCTAGCCAGGCCTTTTATTTCTGTTTTTCGATAGATGCTGTGGTATTACAAACCATTTTGTTAAGCCTGTCTGAATTTAGGGCAAGAAAACAGGAAAAAAAAAATTTTCTTAGTGTAGCAACAAGCATCAAGAAACCTAAAGAACATCCAAATGTGTAGGGGATATTATCATTGGAGTATCTTATTGACAGCTTCCACGTCTAGAGTGACAAAGTCATGCTAGAAGATGTTCAGGCTTCCCTAGGAAGCGAAGGAAGGAAGCGAAGGAAAAATGCATATTGATTCTCTTAGTAATATGAAGACAATTTTACATCTCCAATTTTACTAGTTCATGCTATGGATCCTGACCAGCTGTGACAGCAGGTTTCACCTGGCTTATCGCAACTGCTTATGTACAGAGCAGAAACCTGGACTCACATCTTAAGAATTATCTTTAAAACATTGAATCTTACAGCTGAAAATAAAACTGTCCAAGTAAGCGTGCACTTGATTTCTGTACTGGAGAACAGGCAGCGACACGTAAGCCTGGACAATTTCGATCCAGCAGTTATGGTCCTTGCCCGATACCTGGATCGGAGCCCCAGAGGGGACACAGTCGCAAGGAAAGGCTGCGCGGTGCTTAGCTTTACTTATACAACATGCAAAACCTGATACTGAGGTGTAAAAGGCATTTTTCAATTACGTGATGCGAGCACTAGAAAAGGAAAGGAATTTTCCACCTACAAGACACATTGTAAAATCTGCAATGGAGCTTTATACCCCATTGCAAATTACAAATTTCAGCATCTCCATCCGCCTTGCCATAAAGACGGCTGGTGGTACCCAGGGTGCCAAAACAGGCCTCAGCAACCTACCTCCTTAAACTCAAGGAAGGTCCAAAGTTCAGGAAAAAAAAAAAAAATTACATAAACCATAATTTATCTTCCTTGTGCTGCTGAGCCCAGGCATCTGTAAGCAAAAGCAACGGAAGGGGCAGGCAGGTACTTACTCTCATCAAGCTGCGGGTGCTGAACGATGACTTGGAAGAGCAAGCGGAGGATGCCCGGGTTCTGAGCATCCTGATCGCAGCCCTGCAGGGACAGGTTGAAACTGCCAGCAATATTGGCAGGCTGGCTGTCGCTCAGCTTGAACACCTCTGGGTTGCTGAGGGAGCCGGGGATGTAGTACTCCACCCTCTCCTCTTTCCTTTCGCAGTTGGAGAGGCTGTAGTTGTGGAAAAAGACACTTGCTCTCATGTTGGAAGGAACCACAAACTGCCACGTCATGAGCTCGTCTTCTGGAAAGCCCAGTGGATAGTTTGGGGACATCAGGGTGATTGAAGACTCTCCCTTCAAAATGGATTCAATAATGCATAACCCTAAAACATGGGGGAAGAAAACCATACCAAAAAAGTTGCAATTAAAGGAGACACATTGGCACATGTAGCATCCTAGCAGCAGAGTATTTCTATTTTGACAGTAAGATCATCCACTTCAGCTACAGGTTAGCTTATTATAAAACCCTTTGACTAAAACATATACTTGAGTTGATGCTTTTGTCTTCAATTACAGAAAAGGTAAGGTTATATTCATGCTGTACTTTCAGTTAAGTGGGTTCACCTCGCAAGAAGGTGAACAGTCTTTTTTTTTTTTGAAAGATGCTAGTTCCAACTTCTGCTCCTGGCTTTACAAGAGCAAACACGCAACCTGACAACTACTTCTGCTTCATTAGGTTTCAAGAAACAAAAGATGCGAGCTTTTATACCAGCATGGAGCTCTCCATCCAAAAACCTCCCAGATTTAACAAAAACAATCCAGCAAAGAGCCTCAAATATGCATGACAAAATATGAATGTGAACCATGGAGACTGTGTAAGACACTTCATGCTTTGCAGACTCTTGGCAGTGTGAAGTTGGGTACACAGAGATTACAGTCCTGCTCTAGGACTCCAGCGATGATGTGCAACTGTGAGGAGTGCCAGGAGTTACAAAAACTCGTGTTCTAGAAGCTCGAACCTGGACAAGATCCCTTTTACAACTGATGGCAACAACTCCAGAATTCAAGTAAAGAGCAAGAACATCTCCCAAAGAGGGTTTGTCACAGGATCACCAAGTAACCCACTGATTGCTATATAATATTCCAGGTATTTTAATAAGATTATTACACAACGTTTTATGTTACTGTGCAGGTTGAAACAGATAGCTGTATTTAAGCAGCCTCATGTGCCTTCCAGGCACTGCTTCCCCTTTGTCCCATCTTCCTCTCTTGAAGGGAGGCACTGGTTTAAGACTCCAGCAAGTTAAGGAAGCTTTATTTAAAAATAAACAAACCCAACTACACACTGCAACCAGCAAATAACTCTCTTGGCTCATTCTAATTATGCTATTTAGTCTCACCTAGCTGAAAGCACAAAAACAATAGAGCAGGTACGTTTAAGTTTTAGGTAGTTTAAAGACGATTGAAAGTGAGCAATGTGCACCAAAAGCAGCAACACAGTAGTTTTCATAATTATTAACCAAACTGAGATATTTTGACCCCAGAAGAGCTACCAAACTAGAAAACACCCAACAACAGCTTTTAGACAAACATGAAGTAGAAGGGAATTAGGGATAGCATCACCGAAACTAGAAGGTTACCCGAGAAGAAAGTTTTGAAGAATTGTGCCTCAATCTGCACGAGATGGCTACAGGTGAGGAAACACTACTCCGCACTTACGTTTTATGGAAGCCCTGTTAGCTATGTTGAAGCCCGAGCTGGTGAGAGATGAGTCCCATGGGAGGTGCAGAGACATGACGACTCCTCCCAGCAGCTTGACGCGAGACACCGAGCCATTCCTGCAGAAGGTGCCAATGTTGACTGTGGCCATATCGATACAGCTGTTGATGTTGTAGCTAATGGAATCGGGGCACCTCTCTCCTGGTTCAATCTGTCTTAGCCACGGGGTAGAAAATTTCAGTTCAAGTCCAGCCTTTGTACTGGCCTTCACGTCCCAGATGAAAGTCCTGTTAAGGTGAGGTAGCCCCGGTGGGTAAAGGTAAACATCTCCAAAGGGACACGGGCCTGACACACAGTCTAAATGCAGAGAGAGAACAGCCATGATACACTCTGGAAAGCATTCAAGTAAACGAGGAATTTGACACTTTCCTCTTCATTGCTATTTTCATAATTTTTAGGTTGCACTTAACGTCTCTTCTCCATACATTAAAAGACACTCCTGTAACATGGTCACATGCTATCTCTAACCAGGACTCCTAGCCCATAGAGTAGACAGGATAAACCTGCTTTAGTCAGGTTGACTAATGGAAGGAATTAATTGTCTCTAGTATTCCCACCTTGTTTGCTGAAGAATTTAGAAGGTATTTAGTGAATAGGGTAAAGCACTGAATGGGCAGAAGGAAGAAGTGTAATGGCAGGACAGCTGGAAATTGTGGATCTAAGGAACCGATTTTATCCCATCTTGCTCAGAGAACTCCTGGCAAACCATTCATCTTTCAGTTCTCCACTGCTTGCCATGAACTGTATCTTTGTTTCATTGGTGCCCTGATGAACAAGCTGGGCTCCAGATTTTGCAGAGGTCATGAATAAAAACAACTGCCACTGCAGGATTCTGGGGAGAACTTAGAAAACCTTTCTCTGAAAAATCCAAAATTATCGGTATTTCAAGCTGGACACTAAAAATAAGCATACTTTATGTCTAGGCGCCAACTTAAAGAAGAAATATCACAAGTGCATCTTACAAATATATCATGAAATATTGTGAACACTACTATTTACATGAATCATATCAATAAAACTCAAAAATGTGAAGACAACTATCCTTGAACACTGCCCCAAAAATAACAGAGATGTTACCAAAGACTAGATGCCCAATGAAGTTTGAGATCTTGTTGAGAAGTAGCACGTGTTCGTACCTTTAAAAAGTACATTAACATACATACACCAGGGAGAACATCCAGAGTAAAAAAAAAAGCAAACAAAGCTTTAGTTACAAAACTTGCAAATTTTCAGTTTATTGCCTTCAATGATGTTTATTAAATACGAGGCAACACGTGCATGTCCTCAATGTTTCTGTTGCCCTTATAGACGCAATCAAGCTGTTCAACAAATAATACGGCTAATACATCATTATCAGTGCTCAGAGGCTTTTGACAGGAAAGAAGATTCTTTCATGGGTTTATAAACTGTGGGAAAAGGGAATGTAGCAAGGAATTGATGCAACAAACTATCATTTAACAGTTTCCAAACCAGCCAAGTTAACATTAATTTTGCCAGCCCTGATATAGGCTGCTTTAACTTGCATAACTTCAGTAATTCAAAGTTATTTATCAGTGTTCAAAGATTTCTTCTTACCCAAGATTATAGGGGATACCTTAATATAGTAACAAGAAAAAAAAAAACAGTATGTATTTTTACTGAAGGAAAATTACCATTGAGGGGGAAAAACCCCCTGTATCTTACCAATATTTTTCTGAATTTCCATGGTGAAATACTTCTCTGGATTACCACAAGTGAAGGTAAAAGTCACGATCTCCCCAGGCTTTATCTTGAGTTCAGACACGCTGAAATTTTTAAGACGAATTTGACAGGTTGTTAAAACACCAGGTCTCATTTTAATCTTAACTGTGATGTTATCCACCTTATGAAGAGAGATCGAAAAGGAAGCTAAGAAAGAAAAAAAAAAAAAAAAGATAGAGGTGTTTTGTCACTAGCATATATGAGTATCGCCAGCCATCCCCATAGACGCCACACTGCCGGAAGAAATATTTGCATCTATATTCTCAAAAGTGTCTGGTTTTGGACCTACAGAAAACACCTTGGCTCTCCCAGCCCAGCACAGATGATATAGAAATGCGCTTGCTGCCTGTGCCCGGAGAGAGGTATACATGGAATTTGCATAGGACCAGTTCTGCTCCAGTTTACTTTCATCTGTGTTATTTATTTTATGTTAAAAAAGTAGCTCAGCTTTTGTCCCAGTTTTGGGTTTTGGTCTGTTATGCCTATCATAGAGCCTGCTTCATTCCTGAAGGCACCAATAAAATTGTGACTCAATTCAGGAAGTTTATTCAGCAGCCAAACAACAAAGCAAACCTCAACTTTAGCTGCACCCAACGGTAACAGGTGAATGTCTGGGTATACCTCAAAAATTACTGCAGACCAGGCAAGGTACTCCAGCAATACCAAAAGCACATACCAACAGACACTTCAGAGTTTCAGCTATTCCTAGTTATTAATGCAGCGTTAGCTACTGCACAGTTTGGTTTGCTCTATGAAAGCTTTTGCTTTCCAGTCCTCAAGACAAGGAAGAGACAAGCAAGAAATATCTTCTTACAGATGACATCTTTGGCTAAGAGAGAATTGGCTGATAAATATATGTGGTCATGGCCCTCTCCCATCTGCCCCACCTTTTACAACTCATTCCCTGAAGGTACAGGGCATCCATGCAATGTTCCTCAGCAGCACAGAAGGGATCTGTGGCCTGGGACGGACTGTGTGTGCTTGGATACCTCTTCTTCATCCCTGACATGACCATCATAGACTCAATGGCTTTTGGGGAATACATAAAAGCCTCAATCTTCACATATTTCAAGCCATCCTCAAGGACTACCAAATGCAGGAGCTGCTCTCACCGGAACTGGATGTTGAATAATCTTCTAATATTGGATGGGTAGTGGTTTATCAACAAATGGACCAAACCTGAATGTCTTTTAAAAGCATACACACAGTATAAGACACCAAGGAGCACCAAGTGGACATTCAAGATGACTAGAAAAGTTATTAGCATCAGTTTGATGCTTAGCAAAGATTGACCCCAGTCCTGGCTGACATGAATAAAGTTTGCATTGAAGTCAACCGTATCCCAGCCCCAGGTGAAAATCTGAGGACACACCAGTTGGGAAGTTTTCTGCCATTGGTTTTCACTACCCTCCCTTCCTTATTTCAGTGTATGGAAGATAAAACCACAGTGTCTACAGCATTTGTGCCTTTTGTGTTTATGGGAAAAAAAAAAAAAGTTATGTATACATAAAAAAACCCCAAGAAAACTAGAAATACGGGTACCCCAAGTTCTGTTCAAAAAGGTCTGTTCCCTGAGTGAGACATCAGGCAGGGCTGCATGGCAAAGCTCTGCCCATATGCCAGGCTGGGAATCCTCTTGCTCATAAACCCCAATAAAGAGAGATTTACCCTAATGAACCCAGCGGCACAGCACCCTGGGAGAGCCCCTGCAGCCATTCCCATTGCCAGGCAGCATGCCAGGAAGGTGTGAGAGAACAGCTGGCTCAGAAATGCACATCTGCAGAGTGCCCTGGGCTCTGCCTGACTTCTCGCCATCCCTTGAGCACCTAAACTTCCAGCCTGGCCCATGCCAGCTGCTATCCCCACGGTGGTGGTAGGGAGGCTGGCCAAAGCCCGGAGATTCAGGGGCTCACCTTGTGAGTGCTGAGCACACCTTGGGAATCCTTGATTGGCAGAGTCCCCTCACGGCAGATGAGCACACCAGAGACCCTCAACCAACCTACCCACCCAACTCAAAACTTTTGCCATTGCAGCTGCAGAGAGAAGCATACAGCATTAGTGACTCAAGTTCCCACAAAAGCCACCTGTCCTATTTTTAAACCTCCCTTTTTAAAACTCCTGATTTTTACAGCAATCTTGTGGTTTGCAGGGCCTGACTTTCATTGCAATGTTTTGCAAAAGCCCTGGGGACTGAGCAGCCAGCATGGGCTATCGTCCTTCCCTGCCACTGGGAACATTGCAGCTCCAGGTTGGCAAACACCAGGCGTCAAAAATATCACTGCTAGGGTAGTGGCAAGTAGGGCAAGAAGAGAGTACTCAAACAGAAAGCCCATTGTGCTTTTATTTGAGTTTTGTTGGTCTTGAGTCTTTTTTCAGCCTTTCCAGCTTTTCTACACAATCTTGGAGTCAAAAGACTTAGCAAGCCCTTGAAACTGCCTTACCTATTTGCCTCCGGGATCAAAGGCTGTAAATGAAAACCTCAAACACCACGAGGCTTGCCAAATTTCTGCACGTACTTGTAAAAATGAGTTTATCAATCCTCTATACCATTAGTAAGAACCTGGTCACTTAGCAACTTTCAAATGATGGGACAGCCCTCTTCCCTGAGCGCCTACACTGAATTCCCTCGCCTCTGCCAGTGGCTGGCACCACTCAGCATCTGCGTTTCCGCTTTAGAAACGCTTTCGTAAAGGTTTTCAATCTGGGTTTTCCTGAGGGGAGAAAAAAATAGTAAAAAAAATTTAAAAAAATAATACCATATAGGCTAAGAACCATCCTGTGCAATGACCTTCCAAGCACACAAGGGACAATCCCTGGGGCAATATCCGAGGGGTGGGGAAAAGAGTAAAGTGAAGTCAGTACCCAGCGCTGCTCCTCCTCGTGCTTCAGGAGGAAGCAGCTTTCAGAAAAGAAAGTGAAACAACTACTTCCAGCCTAGCCCAGAGTTTTATTTTCCACACCACCAGACACTTTTTGGGTTCTTTGGGGGTTTTTATTTATCATGTTTAGTGCAAAAAATATCCTTTGACCACGATAGTAATAATTTTTCTGATGTTTATGTCATCCAGTTATGAAGTGTTAATAGCATAATACCAATAATTAATAACTACAGACAAAAAGAGCCTTCCTTCTTATATACATTAATTGTCACGCTCACCTACAGTTTACAAGTAGGACTGAAAAGTCTGTTCCTCACTTTCTTGTCAAACACAGTTATCACTGTTCCTTCTCCCATCCCTGGGAGAGCACAGCCGTACGGCCAACCTGGCAGGATGGAGAAATGCAGCAGGGTCACTAATAGACGGCACTTCTGCACTAAATGCTCATGCACAGCTCTAAGACCATTTTTAGTCATGAGGATTAAGCTTAAGCATAACCTTAAGCACATGACTAGCTTTAAAATAAAACAAATACACGCCCTGAGCTGAAACCAAGGAACATAAATTTTCAACATGTTGTGAAATAGGCAAAGCCTTCCTACAAGGGTCAAAACAAAGCATCATCTTCCCCGGCCCTTGAAAGGCCTGACTTCTGCTGCCTGGGTTTTGTGTCCGTCTGTCCCTCCCACCCCCTCCAGACTTCATGACCACGTCATCATTCATTTGCTCTCCCTGCAAGAAGATCAAATCCTTGTCAGCCCAGTATCACTTTCCAGCATGGACACGGCCCACGCCTCAGCTGTCCAAAACAGGACCCACCCAAAATTGCAGAAGTGCTGCAATGATCACCATCCCAGTAGGCAAAAAGGATGCAGATCGTATAGCCAATTCTGCTTAGCAAAGCTGTCCACTAGAAGCCTGCACACGGACAAACACCAAGCCAGTTTATAACATAAACAAACAGCTTGCTAAGATGAAACTCCACACACAATCATTTTGGTCAAAGAATAAGAGCAGAGTGCCGTCACGTCAACAGCAGCCAGCTGCTAGAGATGCGCTCAGCAGCATTAGACTATCAAACGCCATTTTCGTAGGAAAAATGGAAAAAGAGAATCATGCAGAAAGTATATCCAGTGATCCCAAAGTCACTAAAAATGAATGACTAAATGGCTAAACGGGCTAAAACCCCCAAAATATAGCCACACACATGCAGCGCAATAGAGAGACTACTTAATATCACCTCATTGCAGAGCTTTTATAAACATCAGTGAGTCTCTTCATGACTCACACTGATCTGTCATTGTCTATGATTCCCACTGCATGCCTTTTTATTAGGATTACCAGTAACCGTACACATTTCTTGTAAAGAAGGAATTTCCACGCCTCATTAATGCTGCGCAGGGATGACACACAGGATATCCAAACCAACAAGAGGAAGCATTGCCAAAGCTGGATCTACTCTCCGTCTACACAACAATGAAATTGTTGGGCTAGAAGATGTCAGAGATGAAGCCACCGGTCCTGAGCTGGTTCACAGGCTGACGTAGATATCTGATCTCACCCTAAATTTTTCTCCTCTAAGCAATTAGAATTTTGCAGCTTCCCTTGGCTATTTCCTCAACTGCTCTAGTCTTAGTCTGCATCTTCCCTGCAACTGGATTTCACTACTGCTCACCCTTGTGTAAGTCTGCACCTTCACGACAGTTGTCTCATCACAGCATCCCTTTACCACTCAGTAACGCTCCTCTCTGCACAAAGATACCTTGGCTAGCTTTTTCTCACCAGTATGACTTTCCCAAACTTTTAACCAATTTTATTGCTCAGAGCTCTCCAACCTGAGTTAGAAACAAACTGCATAGTGTAAAACAAGTCGGATTACTCCACACAGCCTAAATTTATCTACTGTGGGTGCACCTGACACTAATCTCCTAGTATTTTTGTAGTATGTATACGTAAATGTCAAAAGGTCATTTTTTCCTGTACAAGAGGAGGGTGCAATGTAGCAGACAACTTGAGGGTGGCAGAACCAGTGGCACTCACAGACAGTGTGCATACATACGTACAAGGAAAAGACTTGGCAGGACAGCAATTTTTATTGCTATGTACAGTGCCTTGTTAAACAAATCAGGAGTGAGAACAGAGTCCAACTAGTTTTGGCCAGATAGTTGCCTTTTATTACAGCAATTAATCCATAATGATCTATAGATTGTTTCACGTAACTTCACTGGATGAATTAAAACAATAAAAAAACCCCCAGACCGACCAAAAAAACAATGCCTACAAGAGTCACCACCAAAAAAAAAAATCCCAGATGTTAATTTATCCCAAAATAAGGTACAAAAACTGTTGGTTTGCTCATTCTGGTTAAATCATGGGCTTGTTCCCCTACAGCCATTTTTAATAAAAAACAGTTGGATGGGGCTGACTCAGACACTGTTCACGAGCCGGCGGCAGCTGGAGGAGACGGGTTGCTGCAGAAGACGAGTAGCAGCAACACTTGCTCCGGATATGAAGTACGTGGATCCAAACCCCTGTTCTGCCCGAGGGGGATCTGAACCCACACAACCAACACATCGCCCAGGAGAACGGGCTCGTCCACCGCAGCGCTTCGCGCCACCGCCTCGGGACAGGGATAGCACCGCAGCACTGTTTGCCTCTACAGCTCGGCAGGCTCTACCTGGGAAGCTCACCACCTCTTCTGAGCCCTCGCAGGGATGCCGGCCTGCAGGCACGCTCGTAACCTTGCTGAGGTTGTTCCACTACACTATCTACTGCAAAGGTCAAGGCAAGACAGTGGGAAGCAAGGAGTATGACTCAATAACACAGTGACCCAATCATAAGCAGAACGATTTCAGTTTCAAGCTGTAGGAACTCCTGTTTCTGATCTAATGGACAGTCTCGGTGCAGGAGACAGCAGCCTTGGTAGGACACATTCAGAGCAATCCATCCAAAATACCCCTTTGCTAGTGAGGGGACCTCAAGGATGTCTCCTGCGTGATGGGGACTGCAGGCTCCAGCTCCCACATCCCAAGTGAACGCCCTATGGCTCAGCTAAAAGAGACACACCAACAGCTACACCATCATCTCCAACACAATTCATTGCAGTTGACTCAAATTTGCCAACAACAGGTCAAAG